CATCCTGTCAACCTGCTGGAGCGCAGCACTGCTCAGCTCGGGCCGGGACTCGAACCGCTGTTGCTCAGAGCTCACACCTATAGTAGTTTCTGCTCTCGAAAGACACAATTCTAGGAACATTAGGCCCCCAAAAATCCTTAGAGGTGGTACGGAGAGATTTTCAGCTTGTTTATTTTAAGGAAGACAGGTTAATGAGAGAAATAAGGAGAAACAGCTATTAGACAAGGACTATCGTAATGCCCATCTCCATCCTACTGCCTTACCTGTCGGATATAGATTCTTCTCCAGTTCAAATAAGATGGGGTTACCGCCGCTCACGTACACAGTTACCGCATCCCCTCTGTGAGCATACAACTTCACAATGTTGAGCTCTTCCTTTCCAGGCACTAACTCAGTGACCTGATCGGTTCCAAGAGTGGGGAAAGCAGCTGTCACATCAGCCCGAAGCTTTCTCCTGCAGAAAGCACACCAATACCTGGTATGAATGCTGCCTCGGATGGATTTTCATAAATACTGAGGACTCACTAGAAAATCATGAAGGCCAAGGAAAGATGGTCTGGTTAATGATACCCTTATTTGCACACACTCTTCCAAAACATCCTATTTCTGTTTCTCATCCAATGTCTCCTCTAGTTTCACACGTTCCTGGGGTATGTCTCTCAGTTTTACAAAGAAAGAGAAAAGCTGATACCCAGGGTGCACCCCAAGATAGCCTTACGTTGTAAACTCAGCTCTGCCTTCCTGACTCCAAGCCTAGCCCTTGGACCCACTCCTTTCTCTCATATACTTGGCAAATCTGTCAGCTTATGATTAACGAGCTATACCAGGGCACCAAGAATGACAACTATAACTGGTTCCAAAACTGCCAACGTTATATCTTCACCTGCAACACTGAACAGATACAGCACTTACCTGCGCCGTATCCCCTCCCACTTAACCCCCCACCTGCCAGAAGTAATCACTAGACACGTTTTCTCATATACTTGCATCCTCTGTGCCCCACCTGNGCTGCCCCATTCGTGAGAGACGGCCCAGAGTCACCACAACAAAGGCAGTGCTCTGAGAATCTTGGGAATTTTAAGCTTCATGTCCTCAACATCTTTTTGCTGGCTAAAATTTAAGTTGTGAAAACTCAACTTTATTTGCCAGATTAACCCTCCAGTCCCCCTTTTCCACAGCACGTCCTTCAGTCAACCCCTCCATCAGTCCTGGCCTGTCCTGCCACCGAGGACGAAGACAGAGACCCGCCGCCCGGCCACCAGCCCACGCCATGCCTTCCGTACCAGCAGGAATACACGTGGCTGCCGAGGAAAGTGCTGGTGAGTAACGGGAGGTCAGCCTTTTTGACTTGGCACTTCAAAGCCTGTAAGAAGCATCGCTGTAACAGTTCATCCATTTGTTCTGCAAGGAAAAGAGAAGAACTACATCCTTCCTGAGGGACACAGAACAGCGGGTGCTCCCAGCCAGCTCCACCCCTACCCCACCCCTTAGCTCTGAAAGGAACCCAGTCCCAGGTCCCAAAGCTCCCGGACTCTCTGGAGCACGGAGCCTTTAGAGAAGGTGTCAAGCCACGAAGTGCTCCCCAGCCAGGAGCTACTGCTTTTCTGACAAAGAAACCTTAGAGGGCTCTATAGCTGGACACAGTCCAAACTCCAGGGCAGACTGGCGCCCAGGGAAACATGACTTATGTGGAAAAGACTCCCGGGTGAGATGTCGAAGGGCTGCTGCACCACCCTCACCAAAAACAAGGACGTGCCCCTCCTGTCCCACAGCTTTGGTGCCACTCCAGTCAGGAGAGTGCAGCTTCAATCTCCTAAATTGGGAGATGGCCCGTTTCCCGCCAGAGCTATACCTTGAAGGGTCTTGCTATCTGTGGGGTCTGGGTTCAGGCCCCCGACGCTGGGGTCTTCTGAGGCTTCTGACAGGGTCTTCTCCCCACACATCTGGTGAACCTCCCCATTCTCCTCTTCCACTCCCTCCAGGGTCAGGTGCTTCATGTCTCCCTGCAGGGCAGGGTCTACCGGGATGGACCGCTTCTCTTCAGCGACATCTGGGGCATCCGGCGCCAGTGGGG